GACATCGTCACCAATTATTAAGGGAAAAGAAACAGATCCGATTTTCTAGAAGCGAAAGAGAGCAACTGAACGTTAAGTTAAGCAAGGCAAAGAATCTCCTTGGAAAATCGTACAGCTTTCTATACATCTGGGTCGATATACAAAAATACTGGGCTTATCCGCGTATTATTACAATAGGCGCGGCAAAGCAGTCAGACCAGCATCGGTATTAAGCGATACTACATACACACATAAATACAGCAAGGGAAGGTTGTTGGGAGCATTTTTGTAAAACAATTGACGGATACGCAGCAGTAGCTATGGTGAGAAATTCATCAATCGAATTGGGATGGCTGGGCGGAGTTTTTTTTTGGGTTTGCCTCGGTGGCTAACAGTTCCTGCTCTTTTTTTTGCGTAAATATTGTAGTCCGTCGCTTCTCAACCATCACAGTACTTCCAACACACAGTGCTCGCTTCTCGCCTGTCGAGCTCAATGAGGCCGATAAGCACAGCAACATCGATCGACTCATCGGCGGACTTCGAGGATAATAGCCACAGGAGGAGGTCGATGAATGGATGGGGTGGAAGGATGATAGAGGAGGTGGTAATGGAGGCACCAGAGGATGGACTGGAGGACCTGGACCACTCGGATGCCGAGAGCATCGGGTCCTTGAGTTCGCGGGCTCAGAGGATGAACGAGATGCTTAGCGATAGCGACTCGTCCATTGAAGGCCGGGCGAGCACGGATGGAGAGCGAACGTTCACTTCGTTGTCGTCCTACGACGAGCCGAGAACGCCAAAATCGCCTGCACCGGAATACTCTGCCCATGGATTTCCCATGATCGAGTCCTCGGATGAGAAGAACCCGGAGTTGTTCCGGAGGTACTCTGTAGAGCCTTCTCCCACTTACCAGAGGGATAGTATATCAACCATCGGACCCAAGGGTCCTCATCTATTCCGTTCATACTCGGCCTCTCACGTTACTTCAATTGCCCACATCACAATCCCTCACTCGGGTATTGTAATGCCGCCAACCCCATCCGCATCTGCATCTCCTTCTTCGCCTCCTGCAGCTGTCTCCCCATCGCACTTTCCAGCTCCCCCGCAATCACCTCACTATGCCGAATCACCACAGGTTCGCCCGATGAGCGAACTATCAGCTGTTGTCAGTGACTATGAGATCGATGAGGTCAAGAGCTGGAGTCCCAAACAAGTTTGCGCTTGGATGCTTGCTTTGGGCTTTGAGAGGGAACTCGTAGAGAAGTTCGAAAGGAACGACATCTCCGGCGCTATTCTCGTGGATTTGAAATGGGAGGATTTGAAAGAGGTATGATATTCACAGATTTTCACTTGGCTAGACTGAGGAAGGGAGGAGAAGTGATTTACTTGGCTAACTTTGATTTTTTTAACAGTTGGATATCCACTCCTTCGGTAAGCGTATCGAGCTCTGGTCTGAGATCCACCATCTCCGAGCTCGCACCGCCACTTCCCCACCGATGGCTCAAGAGCCCTTCGTCCGCACCTCATCCCGCGTATCCCGAAACTCCTCTACCCGCTCCAAGACATCTCGATCACCGAAGTTCGCCCGTGGTTCACAAATGGTCGTTCGAGAAGTTGGTCACATGAGGTCCAGTAGCGGAGCCAAAGCCCTCCCAGACCTCCCAACTCTCCTTCCACGATCTGACCGCCGGAAAGAGAAGGTGATCTCTGAGCGTGAGGAGTCCTCCGATGAGGAGCACGCATCAAGGCCAATTAGGCAGATGCGCAAACGCGGCAGGAAGACCAATGTGCGTGTGCCGAGGAAGCAGCAGTTCTCTGTCGAATCGATTGATTCGGAGACAGCGTCTTCGGAACCTGCGTTTGAGCAGTATGGGCATTCTTTGAGGTACATGCCCTCTATCGATGATATTGAAGGTCACGTGGTCATTCGTGCGCGCAGGGCAAAGTCCCCCGCTACTCGCCGTAGGAGAAAGAGTGTTGTTGAGGTTCTGCCGAATGAGATCTCGCGTAAACCTTCCACAAAGCACAAGTGCAAGAAGCACGACGGGAAGTGCGAGCACAAGCACCATAAGAAGCCTCATAGGTGTAGTAAGGGTGACAAGTGCCGCAAGCATGGCGGTAATGGTAGTGGATCAAAATCCTCCGGGTCGAAGAGGGTTCCGTCCCTCGAACACGGGACAATCCTCATCGCCACGACCCCAAGCATTGCGGATGCTAACCCTCCAAGAATTTCTGCACTCGATTCCGGCTCCGAGAGACCAACGAGACCAGGAAGTCTGGCCACCATCAGCGTCCTCGCATCGAGCGACGTTTTGGGCCCTACTCACGGCTCTGAAGTCAAGCTTCGCGAGAACACACTTAAGGATGTAGCACGAATGGATCCATTGGAGAATGTCAAGCAGTTCCTAACACTCCAGCACCTCCAACACCTCGAAGAGCGCAGGGAGTCCCCACCCCCGGTCCCGACCAAGTCGGCAGAGCACCTTGCTCGTGCAAGGGGGACATACATGCCGCCTACACCCTCCGCTACACCTAGCCCACCACTTTTCCCTCGCAGCGACTCTCTTCTGCCACCCACCTCCTCTCACTCGGCAAAGTCGGTACTGGTACCCCTCGCACCAGCAATCCAACTCCCCCCAACACCCACCCCCTCCCCGCCAATGCGCTCGCAAACTCCCTCCCTGGGCCTCCGCATCCAGGGCATGGAGCGACCGGCACCCCCCTCAATCAACAATGCCACGTCCCCAATCTCCCGAATGCGCTCACCATCCAACCTCCTCCGCACAACAACTCCGTTCTCAGAGGCAGACGTACCCTACCCCTCCGCAACCCCCGTACCACGAAACATGTCCAACTCTGCGCCCCCGGACATGCGCTTCCGCCGCTTCCCAACCCCCGACTTTTCCCAGCAACACAGCAATCCCCCGCTCCCTACAACTCCCTTGCCACTTCCTTCCCGCCGCGGCACCTCAGCCTCCGCGTCCCATTTCCGCCCACAGCCACTCCACATGACAGTCGTCGACGAAAATGCCGAGTGGGAACCCATAGACGAGGACGAAGAAGTCAAGATGGCTCCCTCACCCAACCCCTCAAAAATGCACAGCGGGTGGATGAAGAAGCGACGAACAAACTGGTTCCGTCACGAGTGGGCCGACTACCACTTTGTCCTGAAGGGCACACGCCTCGGATACGCCAAGAACACAGAGAAGGAGGACGGATTCATCGAGATGGACAATTACTCCGTTTCCTGCTCGAATAGTGCTTCGCATAAGCTCTCCGCCGCGTTCAAGGGGGCGAGACTGTTCGGAAGGAAGACTAGTGTTGTGGGTGAAGGTACTGGTGCGTACTTTTTCCAGTTGGTACCGGCTGCGCCCGAGGGTGGGAGGAATGCGGTTGGGAAGGTGCACTATTTTGCGGTCGGAAGCAGGGAGGAGAGGATTGATTGGATGAGAGAGCTTATGCTTGCCAAGGCTATCAAGCAGAAGAAGGAGGGGTTTGAGGTTGAGGTTAATGGGGAGAGGGTTTAGACGTCTCTACTCTTTTCTCGTTCTCGGGGTGTTTTTTTTTTTTTTAACTTGACATTTACTTTGTTTTCTTGTTTGGTTATCTGGTTGTTTCTGTTTTTTATTCTCTTTTCTTTTCTCATGTCCCCTGGTCCCCGGTCCTTGGTTTAGTTAGCTGTATTGATGGTTTGGTGGCTATCCCCAGTCAGTCTCGAATTCCGCATTGACTCCAGCCAACCTTCCCTCGACCTGTATTTTTCTCACCACCTACAAACTTTCCTTCCTTCCTTTCCTATATCTTACAAATAAGGGCATCATATCGGGGTTAGGTTCTTTATCGGTCTTGTCTTATTTCCTTCCTGTTTATTCCTCCAGTCTACCGGAAAGGCTTATGGTCCATCGATTGATTCTTGAGACGTAGCCTTTCCTTTTCTTATATTGCTTCTTCCCTTCGTTATCTACTATTTTATCTATTTACTTTTTTTATTCTCTCACATCAGTCAATCCACAAATCTAACCTATCCGTACTCCTTCGTTTTTTTTTTCCATTTTTTTTTTCCATTATTCAATTTGTAACGTTTCAGATAGGAAAAGACGAAAAAAGTGTCTTGTGGTGGTTGGGTGTTTTTTTTTTTCTTGTTTGTTTGTCGGATTGTGTTCAGCTGGGATCGCTGGAAAGAGGATGTAGCTAGCTAGAAAAGAATGTGTGTTATCAATGTGTGCATGTTGGTTTTTGTCGGGGGGGGGGGGTTTGAGAAAAATAAAATAAAATCGAAATTGCTCATGTCGAGTTTTGTTATATCGTTCCTGCAGACGTGCCCGGTGAATGGATAACTCGCGAATTTTGAAGAGTTTAGAAATTCGCGCCTATGCCGGGCGAGCTATTTTCTCTTACAGCTACAGTATTTAATGTTTCGTACAGGAACGGGGATAATTTGCTGGTTAACTACCCCTGTCTTATACGAAAACATCTTGCCTGGCACCCGCACGATAATAATAATACTCCGGGGGTTGTTCCCCGTTAACTTGTAGTTGCCGGCGGTTATTCACGCTCACTCGACTTCTCCAGTTTATTCTATGATACGGCAACCAGCACGAGGACTCATAGCGGGGATTACCACTTCAATTCTCACTGAGGCTGTGATGCTGGGCTGGGGCAGACAGAGCATTGGTGTGGCGATGGGTGGAATACTTGTAACGAATTAGTCGCTCGCCGGGTTCTCGGGTGTGGCTAGGAGGGAGGGATTGATGGATTGATAAATTGGAATGGAATGAAAGCGCTTAAATCCTTGGCTGTGATGCCTTATGCGCTTGAGGGTGGTGTGTACACCGGTATGAATTAATTGACGGGATGTATGGCTTAGGTGGCGTATGAAAATAGTGCATAGAATAGTACTGCGCGGTAGTATCATAGTCTAGTCAGGAGCCCTAAATAATTACTGCATTTCCAGATTGTAGAACAAAGAAAATAAGAGATAAATTACTATAGCTAAATGTAAAAATACAAGGCCTCCCTCCCTATCATACCAGAAACAGAATTAATGAACGAACGAACGAGTAAGTCAAAACCCCACTACCACACCATCCCAACCGCAGCTACCATGAGACCAACCCCCCACCAAGACCCCTTAACACTCACCCTCCCCCCAAGGCCGGGCACCAACCCCTCGCCGGGTAATCCCACGCTCCCATCAAAAAGTTGTTCCAAATGTTCCTTAAACTCCACAAGCGGGACAGGGTTCCCCTGCGGATCATGGCCAGAGCCGACGGTAGCCCGGGCGCTCTCCTGAATACCGCCGCTCGTTCCCAGCGGTGTGACAATGGTCGCGGGTGTCATAGTTTGTGAATGCGTCGCCGTCGTGAGGGTAGAGAGTGGTCTTATACTTGATGACGTGCCCGATTTTCCCTCAAGGGAGGAAGAAGGGGAAGGAGAAGAGGGGAGGGAAGGAGAGAGGCTTGTTCGGAAGGTCCTTTCAGTAGGTGAGGAAATGATGAGCACTGGTAGAGAGGGTGCTAGGCTCAAAGGCACTGAAGTCTCGGGTGAGGTTACTGATGCGGCTGGCGTTTGCGCTATTGAAGGGGTAGCCATGATCGTGGTGAAAATTGAAGGCGGTGCTGAGTGTTTGCTGGGACTTGTGGCTGGTGGTGTGGGAGTAGTGTGTGCGGTGGCTACCGATGTCGGGTTTGTAACACCAGTGGTGGGCGTTGTATGCGAGAGTGTGGGGACTATATGTGAGGGTGGAGGAGTGGTGGCGCTTGTAATCGGTGTCGTGATCGGCTCTCCAATGGTTGCTGTGTTGGAGGTAGCTGTCCCTGGAGTAGTTACACCTGTAGTTGGAATACTGGTCGTGGGGGCACTTTCTGGAGGATTTGTCGTCACTGCGTCTGAATGAACATTAGTTGCAGTTGCGCTTCCGGTGGTTCCTGAGCTTCCAGCAGACGCAGCCCCGGTGCCAATGAGAGAAGTAGCGGTAGTTGTCCCCTTAGTAACTGTTCCCCCAGCAGGAGTTGTCCCAGTAGTGGCTGTTTCCCCGGTAGTGGTTGTTCCCCCGACAATGGCTGTGGGAGTACCACTGGGTACAGAGGTGGCTTCAGAGGTGCTATGAGTCAAAGTCGAGGTTGCTGAGGTGTTACCTGTTGCCCTAGGAGAGCTTGTGGTGATACTTGCTCTCTCGGTAGTGGTTGTGGGAGTATTGCTGGGTACAAAGGTGGCTTCAGAGGTGCTATGGGCCAAAGTTGACGTTGATGTGCTGCCTGTTGCCCCAGAAGAGCTGGTGATGATACTTGCTCCCCCGATAGTGGTTGTGGGAGTATTGCTGGGTACAAAGGTGGCTTCAGAGGTGCTATGGGCCAAAGTTGACGTTGATGTGCTGCCTGTTGCCCCGGAAGAGCTGGTGATGATACTTGCTCTCTCGGTAGTGGTTGCGGGAGTATTGCTGGGTACAAAGGTGGCTTCAGAAGTGCTATGGGCCAACGTCGACGTTGATGTGCTGCCTGTTGCCCCAGAAGAGCTGGTGATGATACTTGCTCCCTCGATAGTGGTTGCGGGAGTATTGCTGGGCACAAAGGTGGCTTCAGAGGTGCTATGGGCCAAAGTCGACGTTGATGTGCTGCCTGTTGCCCCGGAAGAGCTGGTGATGATACTTGCTCCCTCGATAGTGGTTGCGGGAGTATTGCTGGGCACAAAGGTGGCTTCAGAGGTGCTGTGGGCCAAAGTCGACGTTGATGTGCTGCCTGTTGCCCCAGAAGAGCTGGCGATGATACTTGCTCCCCCGATAGTGGTTGCGGGAGTATTGCTGGGCACAAAGGTGGCTTCAGAAGTGCTATGGGCCAACGTCGACGTTGATGTGCTGCCTGTTGCCCCAGAAGAGCTGGTGATGATACTTGCTCCCCCGCTGGTGGTTGTGGGAGTATTGCTGGGCACAAAGGTGGCTTCAGAGGTGCCGTGGGTCGAAGTCGGGGTTGTTGGTGTGCTGCCTATTGCCCCGGAAGAGCTGGTGATGATACTTGCTCCCCCGATAGTGGTTGTGGGAGTATTGCTGGGTGCGGGGGCGGCTTCAGAGGTGCCGTGGGTCGAAGTCGGGGTTGTTGGTGTGCTACCTGTTGCCCCGGGAGGGCTGGTGGTGGTACTTGTTCCCCCGGTGGCGGTCGTGGGGGTGCCGCTGGGTGCAGAGATAACTCCAGAGGTGCTATGGGTCGAAGTCGACGTTGTTGTGCTACCTGTTGCCCCGGGAGAGCTGGTGGCGACACTTGTTTCCCCAGTAGTGATTGTGGGAGTACCACTGGGTACAGAGATGGCTTCAGAGGTGCCATGGGTCAAAGTCGACGTTCTTGATGTGCTGCCTGTTGCCCCGGGAGGGCTGGTGGTGGTACTTGTTCCCTCGATAGTGGTTGCGGGAGTATTGCTGGGCACAAAGGTGGCTTCAGAGGTGCTATGGGCCAAAGTCGACGTTGATGTGCTGCCTGTTGCCCCGGAAGAGCTGGTGGTGATACTTGCTCTCTCGGTAGTGGTTGCGGGAGTATTGCTGGGTACAAAGGTGGCTTCAGAGGTGCTATGGGCCAAAGTCGACGTTGATGTGCTGCCTGTTGCCCCGGAAGAGCTGGTGGTGATACTTGCTCTCTCGGTAGTGGTTGCGGGAGTATTGCTGGGCACAAAGGTGGCTTCAGAGGTGCTATGGGCCAAAGTCGACGTTGATGTGCTGCCTGTTGCCCCGGAAGAGCTGGTGATGATACTTGCTCCCTCGATAGTGGTTGCGGGAGTATTGCTGGGCACAAAGGTGGCTTCAGAGGTGCTGTGGGCCAAAGTCGACGTTGATGTGCTGCCTGTTGCCCCAGAAGAGCTGGCGATGATACTTGCTCCCCCGATAGTGGTTGCGGGAGTATTGCTGGGCACAAAGGTGGCTTCAGAAGTGCTATGGGCCAACGTCGACGTTGATGTGCTGCCTGTTGCCCCAGAAGAGCTGGTGATGATACTTGCTCCCCCGCTGGTGGTTGTGGGAGTATTGCTGGGCACAAAGGTGGCTTCAGAGGTGCCGTGGGTCGAAGTCGGGGTTGTTGGTGTGCTGCCTGTTGCCCCGGGAGGGCTGGTGGCAACACTTGCTCCCCCGATAGTGGTTGTGGGAGTACCACTGGGTACAGAGGTGGCTTCAGTGGTGCTACGGGCCAAAGTCGACGTTGCTGATGTACTACCTGTTGCCCCGAGAAAGCTGGTGGCGACACTTGTTTTCCCAGTAGTGGTTGTGGGAGTACCACTGGGTACAGAGATGGCTTCAGAGGTGCCATGGGTCAAAGTCGACGTTCTTGATGTGCTGCCTGTTGTCCCGGGAGAGCTGGTGGCAACACTTGCCCCCCCGGCAGCGGTTGCGGGAGTACCACTGGGTATAAAGATGGCTTCAGAGGTGCTATGGGCCAAATTCGGCGTTGTTGAGGTGTCACCTGTTGCCCCGGAGGAGCTAGTAACGACACTTGTTCCCCCAGCAGCGGTTGTGGGAGTACCACTGGGCACAGTGGTGACTTCAGAGGTGCTATGGGCCAAAGTCGACGTCGTTGATGTGCTACCTGTTACCCCGGAAGAGCTGGTGGTGAAGTTTATTCTCGCATTTGAGGGAGTAGTGCTCGTCTCTCTGGAGGTTACGGCATTCGAGGTCACTCCCGGGATCATCGCTTGACTGCTTGGTACAATATTGGTGATGCCATTTGAAGCCTTCGGGGCTTCGGGTGCGGTTGAAGGTGACTCCCGAACCTCGGACGTAGAGCTAGTGCTGATATTGGTGATTGACGAGGACTTAAGGGAGGATGTTGACTGCACTGGGTGGTTTGTCGGTGGAGATGGTAAAGGGGTTTCCGGGATTGTGGAAATTTTGGGGTTGTTTGTTACGAGCACTTGAGATGTTGTCGGGGGTGTATTGAGTGTGGTTCCTTTACTGGTGGCGTTAGGCGTTTCGGAACCATCAATTATGACCTCGGTTGTAGTATCGGTAGTCGCTGTATTTGGGGATGGGGATGAAAGTGGAGATGGAGATACTGATCCTTTAGGCTTATCTGTTGGGATCCCGGCGGTGGTGCTACTAGGAGATGGGGGCTGAGATAGGGATCCTGATCCCTCGGGCCTATTAGCAGTAGTTATAGAAGAGCTGGGTCCCTGGGAAGTATTCTCTAGTATAGGAGAAGTAGTAGTTCCTGAAGGAGTCGGCTCTAGGAGAATGGAGGTAGTCAA